GTGTACAGTGAACCCTCGCCACTTCGCGCTTCGACTTCCGCGGCTTCACTCTATCGCGGTTTTTGCGTAACAGCGCATGCTCTGTCATTACTGCCACTGATTGGCTCATACTGTACACGCTTGATGCCATAAATAATATAATAAATAATAAATGATAATTGTAACGTCCAAAATGTTTTACTGTATTTTCCCTTTTTTGTTTAATAAATTGAGTAATACGAGTGTAATGGTGACTGAAGGGTGTTTTTTCATGTCCTCTATGCTCTAACTACGAAAATATTTGATTTACAAATAAGGAATCCTACTTCGCGGAATTTCATTTATCACGGTAGGGTCTAGAACCGATTAACCACGATAAACGAGGGTTCACTGTATGTGTATGCCCTGCAATAAGGCCCTTAAGTTTGTCCCAATTTTCTCATTGATGACCTTTATAGCTCTGGGATTTACACTTAGGTCTCTGATTTATCTTGACTTTGATTTTGTGCATGGGCAAGATATAGGTCCTATAGGCAAGATGGAGATCCAATTTTGTCAGCATCATTTGTTGAAGAGGCTGTCTTTTCCTCATTTAATTTTTTTGCCCTGTTGTCAAAAAAATCATTTGCTTATAGGTGGATGCATTTATTTACTTGTTCTATGATTCTATCACTGTACCAGTATTGGGGTGTTTGTCTACTTCAGTTGTGTAATTAGCTTTGAGGTTGGATAATGTGAGGCCTCCTATTTTGTTCTTCTTTTTGAGGAGTCTTTGGTTATTCTAGGTCTCTTCCATTTCCACATGATATTGTTAATTAGTCTCTCCATTTTTTTAAAGAATAAAGTTGGGATTTGTATTAAAATTGCATTGCATTTAAGATTTCTTTGGGTAGTATTGATCTTTTCATAATATTAAGTCTTTCTATCCATGAACGCAGGCTACTCTTCCATTGTACAGGTCTTCTGTTTCTTTGGCTAGGTGTATTCTTAAGCATTTTATCTATAGCGTGGCTGTTGTTCATGGTATTGTTTTCTTGACGTCTTCTTTGGGCCTCTCTTTGCTGGTATATAGGAATCCAATTGATTACTGCTTGTTAATCTTGTAACCTGCTACTTTATCATATTCCTCAATCGTTTCCAATAGTCTTTTTTGGGGATCTTTGGGGTTTTCTATATATAAAACCATATAATCTACAAACAGAGTTTCACCACTTCTTTGTCCAATTGTATTCCTTTGATTTTATTTTGTTGTCTAATGGTTCTAAGACTTCTAACATGATGAATAAGAGTGGTTGTAGGAGGCATCCGTGCATGGTTCCTGTTCTCAGGGAAAATGTTTTCAGTTTTATCCTGTTGAACATGATGTTGGCAGTTGGTTTTTCATATGTGGGTTTTATTATGTTGAGGAATTTCCCTTCTAGTACTATTTGGTTGAGAAATGCGTGTTGGATATTGTCAAATACCTTTTCTTCATCTATTGATATAATCATGCTTCTTATTTTTTGTCTGTTTATGTGGTGAAATTCATTGATTGTTTTTCTAAGGCTGAGCCATCCCTATATTACTGGTAGGAACCTCTTCTGATCATGGTGAATTTTTTTTGATATGTTGTTGTATTCTGGTGGCCCAAAATTTGTTGAGCATTTTTGCATCTGTGTTCATGAGGGACCTTGGTCTGTAGTTTTCTGAGTTTGTAGGGTTTTTACCTGGCTGTGGTATCAGCGCTATGTTCCCTTCAAAGAATGACTTTGGGAGTTTGCTGTCCTTTTCTGTATTCTGGAATAATCTGCATAAAATTAATGACAGCTCTTCACTGAATACTTGGTAAAATTTCTATGTGAAATCATCTATTCCTGGGCTTTTCTTGGTTGGAAGTTTTCTTCTCTATTTCTTCTTTGGTTTTGGATCTGTTGAGGTTTCATTTGTCTGCATTAAGTTGGATATATAATATGTTTCTAGGTAATTGTGCATTTCTTCTAAGTTATCAATACAGTCTTCCATAGTACTGTGTTGTTATTTTTATTTCTTTTGGATCTATTTCTAGCACCATTTATTGAAAAAAATGACTCCACAAATACAAAGTGTTTTGACATCCTTGTCGAAAGTCAATTAACTCTAAATGTGAGGGTTTAATTCTGGCCGCTTAATTCAATTCTATTTTCATGCCAGCTACACATTGATTTATTTACTATGCCTTGGTAATAGAGTTTTAACTTGGGAAGTGTGACTCTTCCAACTGGTTTGGCTATCCTGGAATCCTTGACTTTTCATACGAATTTGAGTATCAACAAAGGCACCTTAGATTTTTATTAGAGTTGTGCTGAGCCCGTAGATCAATTTGGGGAGTATTGCCATCTTACAAAACTTTTCATCTATGAACATGGGATATCTTTCTGTATACTTAGGTCTCCTTTACTTTCTTTCAGCAATGTTTTGTGGTTTTCAAAATATAACTTTTCTCTTTTGTTAGGTTTATTCTTATGTCTGCTTTGGTGGTGCAATGGTGAAGTGCTTGACTACTAGCCAAAAAGTGGGTTGTAAAGCGCCTACCTTCTCCCTGGCTGCTCTACTAGAGACGATTGTGGCGGTTTGTTTTCATAGAGACCGGCAGCCTTGGAAACCCAATCGAAAACGCTTACTCTGCCCTGTATGTTTGCTGTGAGTCAGAATCAACTTGATGAAGATGGATTTTTATAAAGTACTATTGTAATGGACCACTACATGTCTGTCAGTCTGTCAAGACTGCGGTGGCTTGTGTGTTACTGTGATGCTGGAAGCTATGTCACTGGTATTTCAAATGCCAGCAGCACCACTCAAAGTGAACAGGTTTTGTTTTAAATACTTTTATTGGTATATTCTTCAAACGTCATACAATTTAATCATCCAGTCATATTAAGATCTGTGCGTCATCACTACAGTCAATTTCAGGTCATTTTCTTCCCATACTCACTGCTGTCAGCGCCCATAACATTTCAAGGGCAGGGCCAACTTTTTCCTTTTCTTTTTTTTAATTTTAAATTATTTTTTTGGGGGGGCTCTTAGAGCTCTTACCACAATCCATCCATCCAACCATTGGGTTAAGCACATTTGTACATATGTTGCCATCATCATTTTCAAAACATTTTCTTTTTATATTAGCCCTTCTTATCAGCTCATTTCCCCCCACCCCCACCTACTCTCCCTCATGAACCCTTGATAATTTACAAATTATTATTTTTCCATGTCTTACACTGACCATTGTCTCCCTTCACCCACTTTTCTATTGTCCATCCCCCTGGGAGAGGGTTATATGTTGATCATTGTGATTGGTCCCCGCTTTCTCCCCCTACCTTCCCTTTCCCCTCTTGGTATCATTACTCTCATTATTGGCCCTGAGAGGTTTATCTGTTCTGGATTCCCTGTGTTTCGAGCTCTTATCTGTACCATTGTATATGCTCTGGTCTAACCAGATTTGTAAGGTAGATTTGGGATCATGATTGTGTGTGTGTGTGTGTGTGTGTGTGTG